AATACGCCTGTCTGATCATATTTGTAGGGAACATTATCTCATAATGCCCAGAGCACACAACGTTCTTCCCATCATCTCGGCTAGCAAGCGTTCTTCCCGAGATCTAGAGTCGCGGCGGTGGTACAACAGTCGACTGCCGGTCTCTAAACTCTTTCCAGACCTCCTAGAACCCCTCTTCATTCTCGCCTCGATCGACCCCAATGAACACTGGACCTCATTCACCGCCCTATCCATCTCCCAAGTTTGCCATTCTTGGCGCTTCATCGCCCTCTCACTTCCAATCCTCTGGGCAAATCTCGTAGACTTTGAGGAGCGTTCGGAAACTTGGAACCTCGAGATGCTTCGAAGATCTGATACCTATGCAATCGATCTCAGCCGTAGAGACTTCGTTCCCCGGGCGGAGAACATCATTTCCAAAGAACTCGACCACCTTGCAAGGTTGCGCACCTACCGGGTCATGTTTGATTCGACGTCTCAGGAAACGCTGATCACCAAACTATCGAACGAGGCTCCGCAGCTTGTTCACCTCGATATCAGCTACAGCGGTACCTCGGTTGGTGGAAGACTGGAGTTCCCTTCATCGCTCCTCGGTGACGATGCACCCTTGCTGCGTCAATTGGAGTTAACAAGGTGCACCGTCGACCTCACTTCTCCAGTCCTCAGAAACCTCTCTACCCTCTCTATTCGCAACGTTGACACGGCGATTGCCCCTACTTTGTCGCAATGGATCGGCGCTCTGAGAAGGCTGCCTGAGCTGACAATCCTTTCGATTCAGGATTCCTTCTCTCCTCTTCCCCGATCCCTCGCCCATCCCTCCCCATCCAAGAGTCCCGTGGAGCTTCCGTACCTCTCTGAATTATATCTGGATGGCCATATCTCAAATGTAGCGCTTCTCCTCCGTGATCTCGCCTTCCCGATGCATTGCGGCATGATGCTATCCTGCACAGAAGCAGAACCTGGACCGCTCTTCGATATCGTACGAGAAGCATTTTCCCAGAGGATCAACCGGGCGCGGCCTCTCAACCACAACATCCATTCTTTGTTCATCTACGCGAAAGGGACCAGTCTATCGATCTCCAACGAACCAAACGAGTACGAAACGACGGGACGATTACCAGAAGAACCGAATCCTTACCTCTATCTCGACCTTCATTCCGCGTCCAGTCCAAACGGATGGGCCGAACTCCTTCCACCTCTCCTCTCCGCAATGGACGACACATTTTCCAAGGTCACCTCCCTCGAACTCGAACTCCCAGCCATCCCCCCCGCATTGATGCTCAGTCTTTCAAAAGCGATCCGGTTAACGACTTTGATGAATCTATCAGGAGCCATGTCCAAAAAACTACTCGCCGTTCTCCAGAAACCGTATCCTTTGCCATTGAACGGAGGAATCGAGATCGTCCCGACCTTTCTCCTACCAGCTCTACACACCATCCTATTCACTGAGGACAGCTCAATGTGGGGCCCCGCTTATCGAGTCTTCCAGTC